ATGTATTTTCTTACATGGAATCTTGACGGTGTGAAACATGCTTAGTTTTGTAAATTGATGGTTGTGATGTTAAACATGAGATAATGTTGATCTATTTGCTTTTGGGTTGGGAATATAATGGTTTCATCTACTTGTACTAAGCATGTTATTTTTCTATGATGAAATGTGGAAGTATAACTTGCGTGGTTGATTTTATGTTGGATATTATGATGTATATCATGGATATTATGTTAGTGAATGGTTGTATACTATGCATATTCTTGGCATGGGGTGAGTTGAGAGGATGAAGGTTTGATGTGGAAAAGAAGGTTGAAAAGTAAGATGATGATATGTAGTAATTTGAGATGATGGTTGTTATGAAAATTGGGATGGATAGGAATGTGGCGACCTTGTGGGTGGGTCTGTGTGAGCGTGTGCAGGTAGCACCAGTAGGCTACCACACTAGGAGAGCTACAGGTGCACAATCTCACATTGCCTGGGTGTGGATATGGCAAGTGTTATACGTAGATTCAACACCTTTATATGACACAACGTGTTTTAAAGTCGTGATAGCCGTGAACCAACCAGAACTCCAGAGTTAAGCGTGTTTAACCTGGAGTAGTACCAGGATGGGTGACCCCCTAGGAAGTCCCTGGTCCAGAGGAGCCAAAAGCAGATAATATTGTGTCTGGCTAGGGTGAGGGTTATTACAAATGGTATCAGAGTCTGACCCAACCGGAAATATGGCCAACGAGGACGTTGAGCCCCAAGGGGGGTGGTTGTGGTGACCTTATGGCGGGTATGTGTGAGCGTGTGCAAGTGGCGACAGTATGCTACCACACAGGGTAAGCTACATGTGTACAATCCCACATCGCCTGGGTGTGGATAGGGCAAGTGATATATGTAGATTCCATACCTTTCTATGATACAACGTGATTTAAAGTTGTGATGGCCATGAACCAATTAAAACTCCAAAGTTAAACGTGCTTAACCTGGATTGGTACCAGGATGGGTGACCCTTGGGAAATCTCTAGTTCAGAAGAGCCAAAAACGGATGTTTGAATAGGGTAAGGGTTGTTACAAGGAAGAGGAGTGCGTTGTATTTCATATGTGTTGAAATGGTTGAAATGTATGAAATTCATGTATGATGATGTTGATGATATTCCCATGATCCTTTTTTCTTGTTCTCCTCTTCTTTGGTTGTGGCTCACAGAATTTTTAGGAATGTATTTTAGGCTTACTTTACTGAGCTGTAGAGCTCACCCTATTATTATTAACATTTTTCTAGATTTTAGAGATGATCTGGTGAAAGATATACATATATGAACATTGATGTAGATATAATATTCATTTTTGTTAAAGTTATGTATTCATGGCCATGGTGGCCTTATTCTTTGTATTCGATTCCTTATAAATTGTATAAAAATGATTTGTATGATTTGATCTTCAATTGATGTATATAAGCGGTATGATTAATGGATGTTTATGTGTTAATATTTTGATGTTTATGGACTTATATTTTCATGATCTTTAAGTTTGGGAAGCATATGGATGGGTTGGGAAGTGATTTATTGGATCACATTGACTTTGGGCATCATCTTAACGTCAACATGGGGTCATCTTAACGTTTAGATCAGATCTGGGAGTCATCAGTGCACACAAATACCTTCATTTGTGCATATAGATGCACTCATTTATGCGCACAAATGGTCCTTCAACTTTAAAACCTTATTGGAATAACCATCTTAACGATAGAATAAGACCAAGTGTGTGCATAGATGGTCCACTATTCTCACTATGACTCCAAACTTTGGTATAATTACATAATTACCCCCAAACTTTAACTAAAGCATAGAATGGGCATAAAAAATGAAAGTTTTACCCCTAATGAGTTGTGAAGCTATAGTAAGTGTACTAAATGACTATTTTACCCTTTCGGGTCCCAAAGCATTAATTGACCACTGTAAAGGATTATTTTGCCCTTATGGGCTCTAAACCCACTGTAATGACATGAAATGGCCATGTTGCCCCCGAATTTCATTTTAATCATTGGATGAACTTAGTAAATGATCGTTTTACCCTTTTGGATCTTGAACCGTTATAATTGAGTTAAATGACCATAGTACCCTTATGTGTCCTCGGGTTCGGGTGAGAACCCGGTTAGCGATCCGGATCCCCGAATTTGGGTCATTACAGATTTGTGTTGCAATAAATTATCACAAGACTTCTATGGTGAAAGAACTATGCAGAAATTCATATGATATCAATTTGTAATAAACGTACCAAATAGAAATTCAAATATTTGTCATGAATTATTTCACATGAAAAAATATGTATTTTTACGATTATGTCAAGAGCTCAAACGAAAAGATCTATAAGAAGATGGTCGTGAAATTCATGTGGCAGAGCAAATGGCCATATTTCTTATGATAATTAGGCATAATGAAATAAATATGATGCTACAAGAATGATTTCAACCCTTTGGTGAGATGATTAGTATGCATTTTAACACAATTTTGAAGGCTCTAGTAACCTTTTCAATGTCAATTATTGTGCCACCTTCGTTCGATGAAATCCCTTTCCATATAGGCAACAATCCTCAGTATTATCCTCATTTTAAGGTAACGCCATCCAACCCAAACAAATGTGACAACGATGAAGGTTATGTGAGTGACAATGACGATATGGACAGGCGTAGTATGGAGGACCAGCAAAATCATGGAGAAATGATGATTATACGTGTTAGGATTGCTAATTCAATACGGCAGTCGACTAGATAAACTGCACCTTAGCCTTTTCTATGTCATTAAATTATAACTAAAAGTTTTATTTAATTTTTCTTTCAGTCAAGTATTGCTTATTTTGAAATTAGTAGTTAAATTATTTATACAATTTGGCATGTTCACATTTATTATTAAAAATTTATCAAGTTCTTCAAATAAAATTGAAATTATTTATTTGTTAATATAATTATTATGCAATTTTATTGTTATAAGTGTTGCTAATTGTTCATTAGTTTGTTATTTATATCTATTAGTATTATTTTTTTTATGACAAAACTAGTGTTTATATGGTTGAATAATTGTGAAAGGGTATTATGGTAACCTTGTGTTTATTTTATACTAAAATGACTTTTGGTAATTTTGTTCCTAAACACACTACATATAGTAAATTAAATTTTGCAAATAAAATAACTTATCACAAGTCATATTCACCAAATGACTTTTTTTCCCCCTCAAATTCCTTTCAACGAAGTCAGAATAACTCCTTTACAATGAAAGGACTTTTTTTATTTTGAAAACTCATCCTCTAATCATAATTAAATGTTTCAAAATTCTAATTAAAGTAGCGCTCAAAACCACATTTAAAGGACAAATTGTAAAATGTGTGCGGACTTATCTTAAAATAAAAAATACAAAATAAAAACTTTTAACTTCAAACTGAAATTTATATAGTTGTTATTTTCAATGTGTTGCAGTTAAATTTATGAATTGTTGCATCTTGGTCTAAGATTGGGCGACTAGCGGATAATTTATAAATTTTAAATAAAAATTTTCTAATTACCTTAGTGAACCCTCCAAAATCCCATCAACCAAACGACATGGTAAGTTAGCATTGCTTTAGGGCTCCACATTCTTTTCATTTCTTTTCATAGACAAGGATGTCTAAAAATAATAATTTGAAAAAAATATCCTAGAAACTTTATATGATTGAAATATAATAATCATTATTATGCTTCCAAACCGCACTAGGAAAAATACAGTTAATCAACAAGTAGCCGCCTACTAGATTATTGACTCTGAAAAGACACCATAGTTGAATTTTGAGCATGTCTACAACTTTGAGGCCCTACTAGTCTAAGGTGCTAAATACATTTAATCTAGAAGTTTGGTGAGGCAAGGCTTTCAAAAGGTACCTGAGCAAATAACAATACCTAACAACATAAAATTTTGCTTCTCTCTTTCGGTAGAATTTGAAAAGTTGATTTCCAGTAACAACTCACTTCTATTTGGTTTTAGTTCAAATTGGTATGATTTTATTACTAGATTTTGTCCCTAAAGACATTTAAAAAGAGCACTAGTATATATAAGCACTTTACCTTTATCATCGTACATAAGCGATGTTGAATTATGTAATCTGTAACTCGCCATGTCTCATGTTACCACTAAAAAACACTAAATCCTTGTCTTAAAATTAGGATTAGTTATGTGTATAAACTTCATGCATTTGTCCTAAAGCTGATTATCAGGTTCCCAATTTTTTTTTTTTTTTTCCTTTGATTAGGTAAACTACTCACACACATTTCACATAAATTAACTTCCAACCCCTCACCTCTTCTTTGAGCAATGTTTGCAAAAATAGGAAGCCCCATATGGTCTTCCACAAACATCACAAATGTGAATCCAAGATCTGAGATGAATTTATCAAATAAATTGAAAAACATGGAACTTTACTGTTTCCAATTTTTAGGGCGCAACTGAGCCAATAATCATGTTTGATTTCATACTCATGGTTGATACTTGACAATGGTCAAACAAGGCAGCTTCAACATTTCACAACTTTCTATATTGTCAAACAGATCCCAGTTTAATATCACTTTGATCATCAAAAGCTTTACCTTTCAGCCCATTATTATTTCATGTCCCTCTAGGGGCTTCTCACTATTTTTCGCTTTCATGTCGTCACCAAATATTGTATTTACAGTATCTTCTATGATGTTATAGATAGTCATAAAAAGGAAAGTTTTCCTCAACAGAGGTTGAGAGCAAGTCCAAAAAAACCTAACTTTCAAAAATCTCAAATCCTATAACTTTCAAAAATCGCTGAGTCCTATAAAACCAAACTTTCAAAAATCAAGCGGACATTGTTGAGATTATACAATTTGAGTCTACTATGGAAAAAAAACTATTAGATGGTCCTGAACCATATAGCCCACCAGGTGGTCCTGTCCAATTGAAACTCATATTCGGTTTCGTTTAATATCTTAATAAACTCTCTTAAATTCACTTGTTAGTTGGAGAATTGCGATTGGATTAGACCTCTTCCCAAATTATGCAAGCAAATGTATTAGCTTTATTTAGCTTTTTTACTTTCTCAGAATTATAAAGGGAAGGTTGGTGTGCAGAATCCTTAGTTGACAGCGTCTCAGAATTACAATATTAACAATATTTATACAACAGAAACGATTGATTACAGGGCATTGCATCAATATTTCATTCCTGGCTAAAGCAATCATACTGAGAACAAGGAAATAATAATCTAATCTCCAAGTTTTGACTTAATGCATGCCATAGGGCTTCAAAACACCGTCAGCATCAAGCTATAAGATAAAATATATCCGACTAAACATTATGGCATGTTCAGATTGGATACTGCCCTGATTTCACAAAATCCCAAAAAGAGGAGCAAGATCCAGTCAAGCTCAGTCCAAAAATCTTATTATGAATCACTACAATCGTACCACCGAAGGAGCTGATCTTGGGATTACATCCAGCTGCACCGAAAGATGAACGCAGTTCAAAGAATGTGGATATTCATACCTCATCAAATAACAGGACTAACTTCTTTCTGCAGATTTCGTTTGTCGTTAGCATTAATCCAATACTGACCTGCATTTTCCCTACAAGCACCTAATCTGAGCTCCAGGACTCGGCAGCAACCCGAAATTACAAAGCCTTTGAGAAGCATGGCAGGTTCTCCAAGTGCCATGAACAGAACAGAATCCACTAATTCCTCGTAAGATACAGGACCCATTACAGCAACACAAATTGTGGATCACATGGACCTATCAAAAAATCACCTGCATTCACCTATAAAAGCAGCATTTCAGCATTCTGTGAAAAAAAGCATTGTGGTTATAGTCCTCAGCAATGGGTTCAAGATCAGATCAAAGAGGAACAGATCCCCAATAACTTGTACAAAGGCATCAATCCTTCAGTTTCTACAAGAATCAGAAACGATTTCTGTACTCGTGTGATTCACTTCCCAACTCAGTCATATTTTGTCAGAAGTTTCAAATACAGAATCAAGATCACAGTCCAGAAAGAAGCCTTGGCCAAATATTTAGAATGAAACCACTGAACCCATAGTTTATCCCAACATATCCCCAACAAAGACATATTTTAGAAGCACAGTCCAGATCCTGGATTTTCCTGATATTAAAACCTCCTTTTCCAATTTACCAAAACTTGAATGCATATATAAACTTAAATTACGATAACAACAATTACCAATATTAAGCAAGTAGATGAGCAGATTCAGGTCCTGGCTTTACGAAAAGAAGAATATAAGAGGGAGAAAAAAAGGAAAGAAAACATTTAGCCCCAAGCATTCCCATACCAAAGTACATCCTCTCAACATCAGAAAAGCAAAGACAGGAAATTCAACTAACAGAAGAAAAAAAAAATCCACTTTAAAAGTAGCAAGTTCCACTTCCATGGGTTCCCATAATTCTTGTTCAATCTTTCCATTTTTTGTTGCAATCTGTCACTTGGTTATGTGGGTTTCAAGGTTTCACTTCCATTACAGATGGTACATGCACAATGAGCCAATGATCTATTCGTGTCTGTGGGTGCACTCTGTCGAAGAATCCCTTTTGCATTTCAATAAGCCAGAGTTCTCTGTTTTCTGAGGTGTCGAATGCCAGGGGGCACCTAACATATACATGCAAAGCCCAATATGTAGTACTTCCAGAAGAGGCAAAGTTCCTTCCTCTATAATTAATGAACTTAGCATACCCATGTCCATTAGAGTTACCTGCTTAAGTTTCTGAAAGCCATTTGCCTTGAAACACAAGCCGAAATGTATGCATCCCATATACAGATTCAGGCACATTAGATTCAGCAAAGCTTGCAAGGCTTCTAGCGGATCATCAAGTAATCTGGAAAAGCTCATACACAAAGTGACTAGATTTTAAAGTTTCGGAATCCAGCCAACTTCTTTAAATATCCAGACAAGTGGAGACTTCGAAGACGTTGAGGCGGGGATGATACAGATTCTATATTCAATGTCCCAAATGATTGTAGTACATAAAGACTTCTAAGATGTTTCATATTCGCAATGGAGGCCATTTCATATTTGCAATGGAGGCCATCAGATGTTCCCCATTTACATTTGTCAATGCTCCGACACCCAACTTCCTCAACTCTTTCAAATATCCCAGTTCTCTAGTTATCCCTTATATCATCTGCCTGCACAAAATGCAGCTTCTACAGCTCCTTTAAATGTCGAATCCCTTTGTGCACCTTCACTCAACAAGAAATTGGCAAACAAGCCATCCATTTTTTTTGGGTACACCAATAGATGTCGTAGTTTCTGAAGCTCATAAATCTCAATTGGTAGCTCATCCACGAGGGAATATCTCAGATCTAAAGTCTGTAAGTTGTGTAGCATTCCCATGGACTTTGGAAGTATCTTCACTTTCGTGTTCCTCACACTGAATTACCTCAAATGGTATAGGTCCCCAACTTCTTGTGGAATATTATCCATAGGAGCACCTTCAAGATCTAACACCTTTACTAACTTCAGTTTTGCAAACAATGATCCGAAAAATTTAGGCAGCACTTGGTCCACTCCAACAAAACAGGAATGAGCATGAACATCATCAATGGTTTCTAGAGCATTATATATATCATTGTGAAAACACAATCGCCGAGGTTGTCCATCAAAACTTGAGTCCTCCGCCACAACTTCACTAAAACTCAAATCCTTAGCTTTTGTAGTGATGATGACATGAATCAAACCATGCATTCGGTAACTACGGGCTTTTGAATCAATACTTGCGTCTGACACTTGAATTAAGCTTTTGTGAATTAGCCCGTAGATCTTGAATTAAGAAATATTGATTCAAAAGCCCGTAATTGCCAAGTGCATGGTTTGATTCATGTCATCATCACTACAAAAGCTAAGGAGTTGAGTTTTAGGGAAGTGTGTTTCCTTCAGTAATTTCTTGCTCCACCAGCAGCTTCTATAATATATCTGTACCAGGAAACACCAACATATTCATGGTCCTCATTTCTTGTTTGTGTGATTCCTCAAGCGGATTGAAGCCAAAAACTATAGTCCATGTATGCATGTGCTCAGCGATGGCAGGAATAATCAATTTCTCAACTTTGAGAGAGCAGAGTGCCTGAATAAAGAAATGTAACAACATAAATTATTGGCACAAAACTGATCATCAGAAGGAAAAATAAAAAACGGTTACTGAAACCAAAAATAAAAATGAATTTCTCAGGATTTGAATAAAAAAAATATGTAGTCAAAATGTCAACGAACGACCTAAGATGCCAACCCACAGTGCATATGTACATATGCGTGCAGCTGTAGAAATATGCATGTGTTTATGCATATAACATCTTAAATACTGCAGATTCTCATTCTGGTCCTCCCAGCCTCCCACATGCATCACTATTAATTATAACAATTGTTCATCCATGTTTCTAACACAATTAACAAAGATTTTTAAATTTTTCTCAAAAAACAAATGCAGCGAGTTAAAGCAAACTAACTAAGAATTGTAGGTTTAGGCCTCAAGCTCGGACTAATTATTCTTTGAAAACATGATTTTGTTTTGTTTAGATGCTTTGCCACATAAAAATGCAAGAAACAATATTACTGTACCGATTCAATGGCACAAAGAAGCCGGCGCATCATCCCTTGGCGTCTGTATATATGGCGTGTCCCAATGAATGGCATCTCTGCAAGCTGGGTCCCACGGGTCCTAACCAGGCAATAAACAATTCAAGGATTAGAACATTTTGCAAATGAGTGGAAACCAGCAACCTTACTAATAAAGGTGTTTGTTGAGTAAGACAGCTTTCGAGCCCAAGCCCCACAAGCCCCAACCAATGAAGTGGGGACCGGGAATGCTACAGGCTCAAAACCTTTGGCCGTTCTTTTTAAATGGGGGAGCCTGAGGAATGCTGATCAAAATACATGTGATGCATGCACACACAAAGCATAAATAACATAAGCCCACTTAAAAGGGATTAATCTATCTAATGGAAATTGGAGTACCCGAAACATGAAAATGATAAATGACTCAACAAACTCAAAAAGACAAACCCTTAGATCTAGTTACTTTTATATACAACATACTTATTTTTGATAAGTATGTTCTATAATATTCAAAATTTATTCAAAATTCTATATTCTATCCTTTTCTCTATTCATATTAGTATGAATGGCTAAGAATGAAATAATAGTTCATTGCTAAGATTCCATTAGTTTATTAGATACTAGTTCATCAGATTATAACTTATAAGTTCATAACCCTAGCCCATTCCCATTTTGGGCGAAATGGATCTACTAATTCTTTGATTCCAGTAATGTAAGAGTGATCTTTAATTAAGAAATAGTCCCTAGAAGCTAAAAAAGAATATCCTGAGCAATTGCAATAATTGGTTTCATTGATATGCCTAGTATAGTGGATGCTATCACACATACAATCATACTCAGTTTGACAGAATTGTTTGATCTTAATAATGAGTAATATTTTTAATATGTGAAAATCCTCAAAGTGATAAGAAAAATGGTTCGTATCATTACTTCCATTCTCCTTTGCAAATGAAAGTTTATTTTACACAATTACAAAGCTAAGTTCTAAAAGCCAGACATTATTAAGTTGGACAGATGTAAACATTGGTTATGCGAAAACAAAATTATTGCAATATTGCACCCAAAAAATAAAAAAATAAAAAGATTAGTTGATTGTGGGGGCCTAGTACAACAATTTTCTAAGACCCATGAAAGGCTGGCCAAAGGGAGCAAGATCAGTTGGGTTCTGCTTAGCCAACAAGATAGCAGCCAAAGCACAATTCACTATGACACTTCCAATTCAGTGCTGCCATTCTCAGATGAGGAAGAAACTTGGATGATAAAACCAGGAATCACCTCCTTTATTAAGTGGACTGTCTCTTGAGACCATGAAGAGGGAGACAGCCTGCCCCTATTTGTTATTTTGCAAAGCTGCAACTATATTTAGGTCTTAACATTTTGCAATATTGGGCATCCAGAATGTGTCATTTAATTCTTAGTGTGCGCAGAAAAATGAATGACCTGAAAGTTGTATGCAATATGTAGACAACCATAATGAGAGGCAATATACCTGATGGATGCTGCAGAAATTATTTCATCACCCCTCTCCAAAATAGCAGTATAGAAGCCACTATAGTTCAGCTGACTGAAGTTTGATCTATGTAGAAAAAATAAAATCACATGGTAATCAATCTCATAAACAAACACACAAATACATACGTAAAGGTTCTCTCTCTCTCCCTTCCTCTCTCTCTCTCTCTATCCATATAATATATATGTGTGTGTGTGTGTGTGTGTGTGAGATAGTGGTTACAGAGAAGTGACAACATAACAACCGTAAACAAAATTAATTTATTTAAGCTTTAAACTTGGGTTAAGACTAATATGATTACAATTAAAGAGGGCATAATTGAAAAGTAACAAGACATAATGCAGTTAAAAAGCAGCCAACAAAATTAAGGACAAAATTGTAACGTTGAGATTTAGTGGAGCTCAGTCGATCAATGAATGGAGCTCGTTTAGGCTACCTGAAGTAGAAAAGAATAATAAGGTTAAATGGCAATTGTCACCCCAAGGATAACACAAAATCATTTGAATTGCCTATACATAGGTGGTCTTCTGGGAGGACGAATAAGCAAAAGAAGAAAGAAAGAAGGAAAAAATAAATAAATAAAGGAATGAGAAATAGAGTGAGGAAGGACAAAAAGGAAAGAAAGAGAGGAAACAGATCAGATCAGAGAGAGAGGGAGAGGGGGAGAGAGAATTTAGAATAGAGGAAGGAACTCTCATTCTTTTAGAGTAGGGCATCGGACCCACTCTCACCAAAATTAAAGTCTCTACGCTTAAAATGAAAAAGTTCAAATAGAAAATAGTAAATAATTAAACATGGACTTGAAGGCTAAGACAATAAATTGCATTTAGCAAAAAACCTGAGTTGGAAAGTGTGTTTCCCTCAGTAATTTCTTCCCTCAGTAATTTCTTCCCTCAGTAATTGCATTCATGGTCCTCATTTCTTGTTTGTGTGATTCCTCAAGCGGATTGAAGCCAAAAACTACAGTCCATGTATGCATGTGCTCAGCGATGGCAGGAATAATCAATTTCTCAACTTTGAGAGAGCGGAGGCCTGAATAAAGAAATGTCACAACATAAATTATTGGCACAAAACTGATCATCAGAAGGAAAAATAAAATATGTTTACTGGAACCGAAAAAAAAAAAGAATTTCTCAGGATTTGAATAAAAAAATAGGTAGTCAAAATCTCAACTAACGACCTAAGATGCCAACCCACAGTGCATATGTACATATGCATGCAGCTGCGGAAATATGCATGTGTTTATGCATAAAACATCTTAAATACTGCAGATTCTCATTCTGGTCCTCCCACCCTCCCACATGCATCACTATTAATTATAACAATTGTTCATCCATGTTTCTAACACAATTAACATAGATTTTTATATTTTTCTCAAAAAACAGATGCACCAAGTTTAAGCAAACTAACTGAGAATTCAGAATTGTCCAAGGTTGAGTTAAGCGTCTGTGAATTAGCCCGTACATCTTGAATTAAGCATCTGCGTCAACGCAACTATTGATTCAAATGCCCCGTAGGTGCCGAGTGCATGGTTTCATTCATGTCATCATCACTACAAAAGCTAAGGAGTTGAGTTTTAGTGAAGTTGTGGCGGAGGACTCAAGTTTTGATGGACAACCTCGGCGATTGTGTTTTCACAACGATATTTATAATGCTCTAAAAACCATTGATGATGTTCATGCTCGTTCCTGTTTTGTTTTTGGAGTGGACCAAGTGCTGCCTAAATTTTTCGGATCATTGTTTGCAAAACTGAAGTTAGTAAAGGTGTTAGATCTTGAAGGTGCTCCTATGGATAATATTCCACAACAAGATGGGGACCTATACCATTTGAGGTACTGTGAGGAATACGGAAGTGAAGATACTTCCAAATTCCATGGGGATGCTACACAACTAACAGACTTTAGATCTGAGATATTCCCTCGTGGATGAGCTACCAATTGAGATTTATGAGTTTTAGAAACTACGACATCTATTGGTCCACCAAAAAAAATGGATGGCTTGTTTGCCAATTTGTTGTTGAGTGGAGTGAAGGTGCACAAAGGGATTCGACTTTAAAGGAGCTGCAGAAGCTGCATTTTGTGCAGGCAGATGATATAGGGATAACTAGAGAACTGGGAAATTTGAGAGAGTTGAGGAAGTTGGGTGTTGGAGGATTGGCAAATGCAAATGGGGAACATCTGATACACTGCAACTCAGAAGAAATGCTGTAATACAACTTTTCCAGTTCGAATAAAACCATTTTTTTGCTTGACAAAAATCCGCCTATTGCCACAATTGCAAGCGGCAACCCTTCACACTTCTCAACAATTTGAAGAGAAATTTCCTTCAGCACTGGCGGACAGCGATCCCCAAAGTCCTTTTGGAATGTTTTCCGGCAAAAGAGTTCCCACTCCGTGTCTGGACAGATAGAGGCTTCAGTAGGTGCATGTAATCAAATGAAGATTCTTCGCAAGAAGATGCAAAATTACAATCGGGAGTAGTAATGATTACTCGACTGCATTTGTCGTTCTTGGATAGAGCAAGGCTTATAAAATTCCAAAAATTCACTTTAAACACATCGTCAAAAACCACCAAATAGCTCTTCAGTCCTAGATATCTCCTTAACATTTCAATGAGCTCAACTTCCTTCATTGAGTCAATTTCTTCAGGAAAATTAAATTTTCTTGATTCGTAGAATTGCTTCACCATTGTTTTGAGGAGATCCTCCATCTTGTACTGAGGGACACCAATCCAAGCATGACAGTCAAAGTGTCCAATCAGGCTGTCATAAAGCTTCTTGGCCAGAGTAGTCTTTCCCAGTCCACCCATGCCCACAACTGAAATCACCCTGCGCATCGGTTGTTCTGCCAAAAGCTTGCTTGTCAATTCATCTCTGACAGATTCAATACCTAGAACTTCATTTTCAGATATGAAACGGGAAGCCACCCGAGGGTCAAGCCATGTGCTATCTTTAATGCCACTGCTTGATGCTTGTTCTAAGGAACTGAATCCAAACCTGTCAGCTCTTTGCTTAATGTTACTTAAAGTGGTTTTTATCTCTTGAATCTCAGAAGCTGTTACAATAACGACGAATCGAACTAGATTTCTATAGAAAGCCATGAAATCATGCTGATGATGTTTCCTTTGCCACGTGAAGTACATACTCATCAATAACATCTTCAATCCTTTAAGAAACTTTTCTTACATCTTTAACCCAAAGTAGCAGACCTATGTCCTTTTTTTTTTTTTCCTGCCCTAGCATCTGCATCCTCCAAGAAACACAGTATGTACTCCAATTCATCTCTAAAGCTGGCTACTTCTTTGTGCACGTCTGTCAACAATTTGGCTTCGTTGGTTAGCAGTGGGGCCAAATTGCTAATAACAAAGCTCACCGCAGTTCCTGCCATTATTTTGATCTACTTAACCGAACTAGAGAGCTAGGTGTTCTTTGATGTAGATTGAAAATTATACTAAATTCTGAAGATGATGGATCCTGCCACAAAGAGAGAGATACAAATTGAGATGTAAGAGAGCGTAATTCAAATTAAAAATAAAAACTGTGTGAGAATAATAAAAGAGACTAAAATTTGAAAATTAATAATTCTTCATCATCATCCATCCCATACTAACGGGGTCGGCCACATGGATTCTCTTTTTCCAATCTTTTCTATCATAAACCATTTCTCTTACTAGAATTAATTTTTTATAATTATTTCTTATCCATGATCCCATGTTAGTTTTGGTCAACCTTGTTGTCTTTTACCTTCTATGCAAATTAATTTTCCTCTCCTCACAGGCACACCTATAGCCTATAGCACCAAAGACACGACGAAGGCATTCAATTATACTGCGGAACACACCGGCAGCCCAAATAAGTCACAAATAGCACCGAACACACCGATAACCCAATAAGTCACAAATAGCACCAAGAGACCCTTAGCACATTTCGGATGCTAAGGGATACCCCAGAATAGGATCCTCCCTACACTATCGTACACACCAAAAGACTACCCTAGGGTTTTGCTCTACCAAAGCAATTGCAGCAAGAGAGAAGAAAGATATTAGGCTCTTGTACCATATTTGTAAATAATAAAATATAGGGTTAATTTCAGTGACACCCCTTTAGGTTTGGCCAAATATCATGCTCAAATATCTTTTGAAAATAACTATCACTTATGTCCATTTCTATTTTTCTATTGAAGTCTCTGTTAAAAACATGAGCAAAGACAACTTTGCCCTTAATATTTTAATCCTATTTATTCCAAAATATTAGATTATTTAAATGACCATTATACCCCTCAAGTGTGTATATATATAACATAACAATTAAAAACATAATAATAATAAATTAATAAAAATGTCAGCATTTAAATTTTCAAACCCATGTAACTTGATCCAAACAATAAATGTGAATTTCTTTTATATTTCAATCTTCAATGCCCTGAGTTTACTCGCAAGGATAAAGCTCAGGTTCCCAAACACCGTAAACCCCTCCCACCAAGATCTCACACATCCCTGAAAATTATCTGCCCTAAGCCACATGTTTTCAATACAAAAAGGAGTGACCCTTGACCCCAGCCCACCACAATCTAACACGAGGGATATGATCCGACGTCGGTCTGGCCAAAGCTTCCTAGGCCACATCCGGCAACTTCTCCCAGTCACCGGAAATGAGAAATCTATCCAAGCGTGAAAGCATGGGGGACTCTCTGCTACTAACCCATGTAAAAGTTGCTCCGTCCAACGGCAAATCATGAAGATGGTGACCATCAATGAACTCCGAAAACTGTGCCATCGCCGGAGTTCACCCTCCTCCTGTCGATCTCTCCAAAGGAGAACAAACAACATTAAAATCCCCTCCCACACACCACGGAAGGCCCCACTGTTCCTTCACAGACCCCTTTCTTCACAGATCCTAGCTCCTCCCAAAAAAGGTACCTCTCCCCATCATTCACTGGACCGTACACTCCAGAAAACATCCACCGGAACCCATCCTCCTCCATGGAAAAAGCGCATAAAATGGAAAATATCCCTCTCCACACATCCGATTTCAAAACCCACCTTCTATCCCACATCACCAAAATACCCCCAAACGTCCCGACAGCCTCCAAAGTCTCCCAATCAACAAATCTCCCACCCCACAAACTCCTTACAACCCTATCCGAGATAACAACCATCTTTGTCTCCTGCAAGCATACCACATGCACACCCCACTTCCTCACTGCCATTTTCACCACTTTCCTCTTGTTCGGGTCATTGAGGCCTCGGACATTCCATGATAAAATGCGGCACTTCATTAAAAACCAGTGAATGGTCCCTCCCCTTTCCTTCTCCCTCTACCTCTCTCACTGCTCCTCTCCCTCCCCACCCCATTCTTCCCATCATAATTGACATCAGAAATGAGACCACGTAGCTCCCTTCCCCCCCTCCACGGAGACGTCCTCGTCATCATCCTAACTGTCCTGTCCTTGCATTCATCAACTTCCACACTCTTCCCCTCGGCAATTGTATGTAACACCAACCGAGCTTGCTCCTCATTTGGCTCAAAGGAAACACCCAACATACTGCTCACAGCATCTATATTTTCTTTGACCCATTCCAACCCTCTATCATCCCTGCCTAAAACAGAGGAATCCCTCCATGACTCATCCGGTGGTAGTATAGATAGTGGTTGCATCATCTCCAGACTCTTAAATCTCTTGCCTTGGCAACAACCCCATACCATCCATTGCATCATCACCCACCGTCATGTCTCTAACATTATACGCAGAGAAATCAGATCCTTTGCATGTCAAAGGTGTACAAAAATCCCCTTCCACCTCATCTGCTACGGTATCTGAACCAAAATCCAGAAGACGATTTAATCCCTTCAATCCCTTGTTGACCCCACCCCATTCTTCCCATCATAATTGACATCAGAAATGAGACCACGTAGCTCCCTTCCCCCACTCCACGGAGACGTCCTCATCATCATCCTAACTGTCCTATCCTTGCATTCATTAACTTCCACACTCTTCCCCTCGGCAATTGTATGTAACACCAGCCGAGCCTGCTCCTCATTTGGCTCAAAGGAAACACCCAACATACTGCTCACAGCATCTATATTTTCCTTAACCCATCCCACCCCTCTATCATCCTTGCCTAAAACAGAGGAATCCCTCTATGACTCATCCGGTGGTAGTACAGATAGTGGTTGCATCATCTCCAGACTCTGAGTCTCCTCCCATGGCACCAACCCTATACCATCCATTGCATCATCACCCACCGTCATATCTCTAACATCATACGCAAAGAAATCAAATCCTTTGCATGTCAAAGGTGTACAAAATCCCCTTCCACCTCATCTGCTACGGTATTTGAACCAAAATCTAGAAGACGATTCAATCCCTTGTAGACCCACAATTCCTTCAGGCAGCCTCGTTGCTCAACCGAAACCTCGTATTTCTTCCCACACAAACCGTGAACCCATCCTCAACATCCTGCGGATCAACAGCTACTGCAGACCCTCCCTTATCTGAAGAATGCAACAAAGTTCCCATCACATCCTCCGGTTCTGCAGACAACACACCCTCTGTATCCCTTTCTGCCACAAGTGATAACAACCCAGTCATCTCCGACAACCCATCAAAGTTCTCCCCATCACCACTCCTCAACATCCAACAAGGAGTACAAGAAGAAGGAGCAGAGAGGGAGCTCCAAGAATGATTAAGAACAGACATACCCGATTGTAAAGGAAGATCATTCTGGCACACCCATTTCTTTTTCTCTTTCCTGGTTCTTCGCTATTATGACCTCTGTTACGCTTTGGTTTGCTCTGGCCAAGTACACAAGCACTAAGACCACCATCTTCTAAATGCACCGACTTAGAAAGTATCTCAAACCTGTTCCCGAATCCCTCCTCAAACAACAACCACCGTGCCTAAATATCTTCCCCTTTTGATCGTAACCATCAGTGATTGTACTTGCTTTTACCCTAAATCTTTATCAGAACGTGACCATTGTCTGTCAACAACATCATCATCCGAACAAAAAGGGAAAACCTGGGCTTGGGCAGAAGTAAATCTCCTGGATCTCCTTTCCTTTTCCATCAGTCTAGGCCAAAAAACTTCAGAACAAGACAATTGTTTGGGCCCCAAGAGACAGTCCGATCCCGTTTGATGAAACTTGGGCCTGGAGCATAAGGAGCAAGCCCGAAACAAAAACCTAAACCCTTGGGCTTGGACCCATCCCAACCTTTCTGCACCTTAGCCCATCGCTGCCCACCACTTAGCCCAAAAGCAAACCGACCCATACCCCGAAGCTTCAAGCCCTTCCTTCGCGTGATCCTTCACATTATGATACAGCTGTAGAACGCAAAGACCGAGGGAGACCATCATTCCTATCATGTGGGGGATTGTGATCCTTCCTTCTCCCACTCGCCTTCAACGTGTACCTATCAAACCGTCCCTGTTCATGCTTCCAACCAGGCCTCTCCGCCCCAACCAGACATTCTAGGCGAACAGAACCATCTCCAGATCTACGAATCGTGTAGCCTCTCCTGTCCATCTTAGGTTTCGCCTCAACTAAAAGAGCGATCTCATTAGACAAGAAGATCTTGAAAGCCCAGGGTCGGTTTTCCACGATGACAAACTTCGGCGTAACTCCTCTGTCCACCACCGTAATAACAATCCGTTCCATCTCATACTTTGAGGCCTCCACCTCCTGAAAACCACCGCAAAGATCCCCAATAGCTTCAAACAACTTCAGGCACCATAGATGGAGCGAAAGACCAAACAAAACAACCCTTTTGTGTCTCGTCAACTTCCTCAACCCAAAAACACCCAACTCAATAGCACCATAAATCAATGAAAAGCTAAGCGTCACCCCAGAATTTCTTACCCCCTCTTAACACCCTCTGAGCTTCCTTTTCCGACGGAAATCTAAACAACAACCGCCCGCCCGGTAAGTTAGAAACCTTGACTCCACAAGTAATCTTTCAAATCTTAGAAGCCCACTCCTCAATCCCTTTCAAACTGCCCACATCTTTGTCAAATCTCCCAACAAGACAAGATTTCAAAGTCTTTCGCGAAGAGCTGTGCTTTGATCATCCACACGAAGAACAATCCCTCTATTTGAATGCACGCTCTCCACTTCTCCCTTCAAATTCAATATCGGGAGACTCGCCACCTCCAAAAACGACTTCATCTTAGCAACATAATCAAGCTTTTGCTCAAACTATGCATTAGTAAACAGCTGCTACGTTTGAGAGACTACAAAGGAACTTCTTATGGGGAGGGTCAGGGAATGAATTTAAGTATCATCTTGTCCGTTGGAAGCAAGTACGTAGGCCCATTCAGTCCAGAGGCCTAGGGATTAGGAGATTAGTGCCTTTTAACAGGGCCTTCTCGGGAAGTGGCTATGGAGGTTTGGTTTGGAATGTCATAGGTTATGGAGGAGAGTTCTTTTGGGACGTTTTGGGGAGGAGGCCGGGGGGTGGTGCTCGGTTTCGGTGACTATTCCCGGAGGGGTGGGGGTCTGCAAAGCTATTCAGAATGGGTGGAATGAGTTTTCCAAGCATATCAGATTCAAAGTTCAGGAAGGTTGGGAGATCCGCTTTTGAGAGGATTTGTGGTGTGAAGATCGTACTCTAGCTTGTTTATTTCCGAGATTGTTTCAGATTGCTGTTGATAGGCATGCCTCGATTGCTGACTGTTATCGGCTTAATAGAGGGAGGATGACTTAGGATGTACATTTTCAGAGATCTGTTCAGGATTGGGAGCTGGATGATATTTACGGTTTCCTGGAGCTTTTGTACAGACAGGAGATTCGTGGTGGAGGTAAGGATTCTCTGGTTTGGGTTCCTTCCTCTCAAGGTACTTTTTGTGTGAGATCCTTTTTCGGTTGTCAATCGGATTCAGCCGGGAGGTTTCCGTGGAAGGTAGTATGGCGTTCCAAGGTGCCGCTTAAAGTGGCTTTCTTTACTTAGACTGTGGTGTGGGGTAAGATTTTGACGCTTGACAATTTGAGGAGGAGAAAACATATCATTATTAACTGATGCTACATGTGTAAGCGAAATGGAGAGTCAATGGATCATTTCCTTTTACATTGCCCAGTGGCCTTGGATTTTTGGAGCCTCTTGTTGGGCCTGTTCGGAGTTACGTGGGTGATGCCTAGATCTACGAGAGGATTGATGGAGGTTTGGAGAGGGGTTCTTTGGGACCTCACGCACGCTAGAGGGTATTGGAGGATGGTGCCCTTGTGTCTATGGTGGTGTTTGTGGAGGGAGCGAAATAGAAGAGCCTTTGAAGGAGATGAGTCCTTGGTTGTTGTTCTCAAGTTTTCTGTTATTGGCTCTCTTTTTTTGGGGTTCGGGTAGACAATGTTGTTCTCCTGAGGAGATGATAGATTTTCTAACTTCTTTGGTGCCTTAGGCCCCTATTTGTTTTTGTATTCGGGACGCGTTCCCCTTTTAAACGCTTTTTATGAATCTTTTTACTTATCAAAAAAAAAAAAAAAAAAAATTAATTGGGGGACCAAACTAGTAATGTAAAATTAAAATTTTAAAATAATATAAAATCATTGTAAGATTTTTATTTATATTTATTATTATTATTATTATTATTATTATTATTATTGTTCATGCTTAATGCCCTCGCTGAAATAGATGGATTAGTTATATTATCTAATACTTAAAACAAAATTCTAATAAAAAACTCTGACTGTCCATCTCAAAAGGTAAGAAATATGGTTTTTAAATTTTTTTTATTTATTATTCCGTAATAATATATTAAATATTAAAAGACCGTTTTTAATATTCAAATATTAAATATCACCTTCAAGTAATCACACACAAGTTAATCCTTTTATTTCTTAGCGTTTATTGAAACATCACTTGCACAACATGTCACATTTTTCTTCCACATAAAAAAAGAAAAAGAAATCGTGTCACAATAAAATCATATTTGTTTTTTTCATTCTTGAGGGTCATTTTGGTCAATTAATAGGAGGTTATAAAGGTAATTTAATGATTCACATGAGTCAATTCAAAAGTCAAAGGGCAACTACGTACTTTTATCATGGTTGGGGTGTCTTTGCTCATTTTACCAAACCCGGGGATGTCATTGTCTAAAAAGTGCTTTAAGTTGTAGATGCTTTAACTCAAACATGAGGGGTGTCAGTGCAATTTACCCTAAAATATATATACGAAACAAGTTTTTTTCCCAAAACAGTAACCGTTAATAATTAAACATCTACAGTATATTATACTTTTATTTAAAACATTTTCTATGAAATCTCGAATGGGTTTTGAAGTAGTATGATTTTAGTCTTTAAATTTTATTCCAAGAAATTTTATATTATTCAGAAATAACATTAGCACATATAGGCACTTTATTTTCACAAATTGTCTATCACATGCTCAATCTCTCACTCTGAGCAATGTTTGCCTCTTTCGATTCTTTTTATCACCAATGAGTTGGCCCAGAAGTAATATCACTTGGACTTTCGCATCTCCTAGCACCAACTGAAATTCGATTTCCATTAGAAGTTAATGATTATTTGGGGTCACGCCTCTATTGCCATACTCAGCGAATTATCCGGCCCGGAGTGAAGATGCACCTTTTCTGGGTCCTCCAGAATTACTCGGGACAACGCCTCGAAAACCCAAAGTTTACTTTAAATATAAATATACTCAGCGAATTATCCGGCCCGGAGTGAAGATGCGCCTTTTCTGGGTCCTCCAGAATTACTCGGTATATATATTTAAAGTAAACTTTGGTTTTTCGAGGCGTTGTCCCGAGTAATTCTGGAGGACCCAGAAAAGGCGCATCTTCACTCCGGGCCGGATTTATTTTTTTTTCTTTTCAAAAAGGAACGTGAATGATCTGAGAAATGTATTTTTCAAATAAATTGAAAAACATGGATCTTCACAATCCAATTTTTAGGGGGCAACTCAGCCAATAATCATGTTTGTTTTCATCATAATCATGGCTGACACTTGACAATTGTCAAACAAGGTAGCTTCACAATCCACAACTTTGTATATTGTCAAAAAGATCCCAGTTTAATACCAGTTTGATAACTTGCTTTTTTACCTTTCAGCCCATTATCATTTTCCATGTCCCCTGGAGGGGGTCGACTATTTTTTAATAAACAAAAGCAATTGTTTCATAATCAAAGCTGTAGTTTAAAAGTATAACCTCAATGGATAATGTATCCAAGTAAGAGTTACGGTAAAAAAAAAAAAAAAAAAAACACAAACAAACAAACAAACATTTTCGCAAGTCAAATTTGAGGCAATAAAAAAAATAAAATAATAATAAAAAATTGAAGGATCAAATCATTAAAAATAATAAAAAATATGATAACTAAAAAAATCATTTGTAAATTGTCAATATCCTTCCAAAAAAAGATGGAATTTATTTGTGAAATAGAATTGAGATGCTTTTAACTACAATCTTACCAACTCCAAAACAGAACCATGTTCAACGACTATTCTGGAATATCACCTTCTTGAAAAAAATTCAGTGACTATGCATATGCAGAATACTTGATTTTTCGGACTTTATTGAGTGGCCAAACAAATTCAAAATTAAGAAAATATCATGTCATTGAAAAAGTTATCGAGTTTAGCTTCAAAACATATAAAGATCATTTTGAAAATCTAAGTAGGGAAAAGATATAGTAAAAAGAAGGGTTAAAATCATAAAACTCCCCTCTATCAATTTGTTGCAGAAAGTCCCACTAAAATTAAACCCCCTGCACTAAAAAACACGTTAACACATTGCCTCCCATTTCCGTTAGAATCTGATAAATCGATATGAATTGACAAATCGATGTAAAATTCAAATAACAATAATTATTATTTTACAAATTACAATTATAACCTTGGTGGGGGTTCATTTCTTGGAATTGGTAAGGCATCAAAACAACAGTGAAGCACTATGCTAATGTGGTGTAATGTTGGTCTTATTGCAATCATTGCATAAGAATAGCTAGTACTCCGTACTAGATGCTTCTAGCATGCTGAGATTAAAAGACTAGATCCATCAATTGGTACAATTTTAACTACAAAAGAAATGAAAATATTAGTACACTATTTTTGTTGCTACTGCAAAATAATCTGACGCTACTCAATAACTACAACTCCTTGTGTTCCTCTATGTCGGCCACAAGCATCCACGAATTACCAGAAAATCCTGTTTGCACTAATTCTATGTATCCACCAATCCATCATAACTGTGCTCTACATCTTATTTCTGGGTCTTTACATAAAATTATATGTATACAATTGATGTGTATATTCATATTGATGATTCTGGAAATGGGGTTGAGTTGAAATTTGATTTGGGTTTTATAAATTTCTTGGATTTTGGTTGAATTTGGGTGCAGAGACTGTCGAAATTGGACATGGGTACAATTTAATCAAGTTCTTTCATGAAACAGGATGATTACAAATATATATATATATATATATTCAATTAGATTCAATAAGTTACGTAAACAGAACCTAACAATTGTTATACTAACCTGATGAGTAAGTTGGAAACAGCTTCTTGGCTTCATCCACGGTGTAAAATTTCAAATCTGCATGCCGAGAGGAATCAATCTGCAAGCGGATCGTCAACGATTCCTCTCTTCGTCAAATCGTCCACTCTAGAGAGAGAGGAGACAGATGAGGAGAGAGATAGGATTCCTCTTTACTGATATAAATCTGTCATGGATCAGACACATAAATTGCCTAATTTGAGTGTATACACTTGAGAGTGTAGTGTTGCATTTGTCCATAAAATATAGGGTAATTTGTATTTACACCCCTCATGCTTGCAATAAATATAGGTAGATAAGAGTGTGATTCAATTAGTTTGCAAACTTGAACAACAAAATCCCTAGTAAGAGTACATAATTGCCCTTTGAGTTTTGAATTGACCCATTTAAATTATTAAAGTAAAATATTAACCTTTATAAATGACCCTAAAAAAAAAAAAAAACTTGTGGCCGCCAATGCCATATGCAAGGCGGCCCTGAGATTGAAAAAATATCGAGAGGTCCTAGGCGAACTTTAATGTGAAGCCCTTTATACATAAAGTTTCACACGCACAAAAATAAATGTCTATTTTTTGAATCCTAAGGAAAATTTTCAAGTTTTGCATCTCTTGGAGGACCTATTTCAACTAATAATTCTCTCATTTTTTTATCAATATTTTTCCAATTTCCTGGATCATTAATGTTCAAAGGAAAGATTATCATTCTCAGTCATATATTCTTCATTTACCAAATCTTCAAGTTCATTCACATTTTCTTCATTTTGATTCTCATTTCTATCTTCATTCATTAAATCTCTATGTTCATTAAGATTTTCTTCATTCATGTGTTCTTCATTCACCAAATCTTCAACTAGACTCTCTGTACGTGTATTGTTCCTAAAAAGCTTATGGATAGCGTCTTTTTGAGATTGAATCAATTTTCTTCTCTCTCTCTCTCTCTTTCATGCCTAGATTCAAATTTTCTTGTAGACATAAATGACAACAAAAAAAAAAAAAAAAAACAGAAATAGAAGTTATAGAATTAAAATATATATATATATATATATATATATATATATATATATATATTTGTTTTGCTGAAATAAAATGTAGATTACCTCAAAATGCAATGCAATGAATATGACACTATAACACCTTTTACTGTAATCAGCCCCTTCACACTAACACTCAAATCAAGCTCCTCCAAGTTGCTCAAAGCACAAAAGTCTACAAAAAATGAAAATTTTGTTGTTTTCATATTAATAAATTTTGTTACTTTATTGTACTTTGTTTCATAAACAATTGGGTGCCCAAATGAATTGACAGATTTATGCTTTATGCCGTTAACATCCAATTTATTATTAGCATGAAAAAAATTGGAATAATATATTTATATATATATATATATATATATATATATATATATATTGAGTAATTGAAGAAATGACTTACCAGTCTGAAGTGATGAGAGCACTCTAAAAGATGGTAGGACCGTAGGATGCTGTAATTGTAAAAATTATAATCCACGATAAGGGCCTTTAGCTTCTTCAAGACTCAAGTTAAAACAAAACCCATACATTAATTTAGCAGTTACAGAGAGAGAGAGGGGGGCAAGCTTAAGAGTTGAGAGACAGCGGCTGAAGCTTGCGAAGGGCGAACCCGAAGTGGAACAGCAGGCGATGGAAACTGAAAGATATGGGTTTTGATTTTTTGAACAATCTGAAATGATATGCCGATATGGGATTTGATATAGGTAATACGTTTTGAACTTTTGATTCTTGCAGACAGATAGATAAACTGAAGTATATGGGTTTTGAACTTCTGATTCTTGTAGATTTTGTAGTTTGCAGTTCCAGAGAGAGAGAGAGAGAGAGAGAGGGGAAGTTCAGACTTGAGAATGATAATAGAGATGGAGGCGATTGGGGAGGCTGAAATGATTTGCCCTAAATATTATTTATTTAATTATTTATTTTTTTCTGGTGGCCTATCATCCATGGGCCTATGGCCCCATAAATTTTGAGGCCCTAGGAGGTCGGCCTTGGTCGCCTTGGGTCAGGGCCGGCCCTAGCCATATGCATACGATAAGGGCGGAGCTAGAAGTTTTTAATTGGGAGACCAAACTAGTAGTATAAAATTAAAATTTTAAAATAATATAAAATCATTGTAAGAATTTTTTTTTTTTTTGTTGTTGGATGCATGTTTAATGCTCTCGCTGAAATAGATGGATTAGTTATATTATCTAATACTCAAACAAAATTCTAATACAAAAGTTGGACTTTTCATCTCAAAAGTAATAAATATGATTTTTAAATATTTTTTTTTATTATTCAGTAGTAATATATTAAATATTAAAAGACCATTTTTAATATTCAAATATTAAATATTCCCCTCAAGTAATCACACACAAGTTAATCTTTTTATTTTTTAGTGTTTATTGAAACATTACTTACATAACATGTCACAGTTTTCTTCCACAAAAACAAAGAAAAAAGAAAAAGAAAACATGTCACAGTAAAGTCATCTTTGTATTTTCATTCTTGAGGGTCATTTTGATCAATTAATAAGAGATTATAAAGATAATTTAATAACTCGCATACGTCAATTCAAAAGTCAAATACGTACTTTTATAATGGTTGAGTATGTTTACTTATTTTACCAAACTTGGGTGTCATAGTCTAAAAAGTGCTCAAGTTATAAGACGCCGTCTTCTATGAAGCACGGACACTCCTCCCAGGGGTCCCGTACCAGTGTCGGACACTTTTCGGACACCGACACACGTGTCCGAGGCTCGGACACGTATCCGACACTTCTGTGAAGTATCCAAATATTATTTTTTATTGGACACGCGTGTCCGAGGCTCGGACACACGGTCCGACACTTCTGTGAGACAAAATTTATTTTCTCTCACTCCGCTCTCAATCTCTCATCTTCTTCAATTATCTCTCTACATAAACAAGATATATATATATATATATATATATATATATATATAAGTTACATGAACAAGATTTTGTGAAAGACTGAAAGTATATATGTTTATTCATATACATATTTAGTTCATTATAGCTATGTCTCTTCTGCACATCTTCGTTTGGAATTTGGATTTACTTTATTTTTCATTTATTTTCAGTTTTGTCTTGTCTATATTTTTCTTATAACAGAGATGAAATTATTGAAATTGATTCTGTTCTTTGTTGTTGTTTTATTTATCTGTACAAGATTTTAGTAATTATATTTTGAATATATATATATATATATATATATATAGGCGTATCCCCGCCGTGTCCGTGTCCTATTTTTTTGAAATTTGCCGTGTCGCCGTATCCGTGTCGTGTCGTACTCGTGTCCCGTATCCGTGTCCGTGCTTCCTAGGCCGTCTTTAACTCAAACATGAAGTGTGTTAGTGCAATTTATGATTTTAACAAGAATACACACATGTTGAGAATATAACTGAAAACATCCTATGAGAGGATATTGTTTCATGACCCACCTAATCATGTTTCAAGATTTTCGAAACATAGTTTTACTCTTGAAATTCCAATGTCGCTTCCATCCCTATGCATCAAATCCAAACAAATCAACTTATACCATGCAAAGACCCACAAAAATAGAAAACAAAAAATCGAAATTGCAACAATTTCATCCTAGTAAACAAGGTAAAACATTTTAATTAAATCTTCAACAAATGCAAATTGGTTTTAAGAGAATCATTAGTTAACATGCAAGCAAATGTATTAACTTTATTTAGCTTTTACTTGCATGTCAACTAGTGAAGTGATTAGTCAGACCAATAATCCAGGACCATGAAATAATTTCTTGGAATTATGAAGGTAAAGGTTGGTTGGAAACCGCTCGTTGTGTGAGGTCTAGAATCTTGAGCTGACACCATTTCAAAATTACAATATTAGTACCAACGGGTCAGTAACCTAGCAATATCAGCCTCTTACCTTCTAAAGGAAGGTCTAGGTTCAAGTCTCAGTAGAGACGTGTGTGAGTACCAACTAGAAAAAAAAAAAACAAGAAATATTACAATATTAACAATATATATACAACAGAAACAATTGAGTGTACAGGACAGTGCATCAATATTTCATTCCTGGCTAAAAGCAAATCATACTGAGAACAAGCAAGACGTAATGCAATGTCATAGGGCTTCAAAACACCATCAGGATCATGCTAAGACAAAATACATCTGACAACATTATGGCATGTTTAGATTGGATACTGCCTTGATTTCATAAAATCCCAAAAAGAGAAACAACATCCAGTCAAGCTCAGTCCAAAATCTTATTATCAATCACAACAGTCGTACCATCGAAGGAGCTGATCTTGGGATCACATCCAGCTGCACCGGAAGATGAACACAGTTCAAAGAATGTGGATATTCATACCTCATCAAATAACCGGAAGAACAACTATCTGCAGATTTCATTTGTCGTTAGCATTAATCCAATACTGACCTGCATTTTCCCTACAAGCACCTAATCTGAGCTCCAGGACTCGGCAGCAACCCAAAATTACAAAGCCTGTGAGAAGCATGGCAGGTTCTCCAAGTGCCATGAAGAGAACAGAATCCGCTAGTTCCTCATAAGATACAGGACCCATTGCAGCAACACAAATTGTGGATCACATGGACCTTGATCAAGTCTTAGGACTAATACGACGGAGCTATCAAAAAATCACCTGCATTCACCTATTTTATGTGATGATGAAATCATCATATAAAGCAACACATATTACAAGGCCTCCAAACTCAGGAAATAAAATTCCAAATCTAGATATGTACACATGAAAGCTGCATAAGAATGTTCAATCAACAAACTAGCACATTTCAGAAGCTAATTTACCCCACCACTGGAGTAGTGTTCCAAGGCAGGTAACTTCACCTTCGATTGCAGGATATATGCACAAGGAACATTTTCGACCTTTTATTACCATCTGGAAGAGATAATAATGATGCACCAGCTTGGACCAATCCCTGAAACCCGTACCCAAAAGGCTGTGCAGGTTGCAAAAAATTTTCCGCCGAAATATCACAATTTATTGGTACCATTTGAAACACAGCATTACACCAAAGCCCTCAAACCAGCATATAAAAGCAGCATTTCAGCATTCTGGGAAAAAAAGTATTGTGGTTATAGTCCTCGGCAATGGGTTCAAGATCAGATCAAAGAGGAACAGATCCCCGATAACTTGTACAAAGGCATCAATCCTTCAGTTTCTACAAGAATCATGTCTTCCACACCGCATTGCAATCAGAAACTATTTCTGTATTGATGTGTGATTCACTTCCCATCTGAGTCATATTTTGTGCAGAAGTTTCAAATACAGAATCAAGAATAGGTTCAACACAAGCAACTTTAACTTCTTCTTCAGGAGCATCACCCAAGTGACCTTCTGTATTAGACTGAATATTGCTTTCAAGTGGAGCAACTTCATCGGAACCAACTTCTGCCAAATGCAATTCACTTTCCACCTTCGTGCTCTTCTGCTTATTAAGATCAGAGTTGAGTCGCATGGCATGCTCGTTAGAATTACAAGGCCTCGAAAGAGAATCGGGACTCTGGCTTTCATTCATTTCTTCATTAACATCCTTTGCAGAAATGTCCCCAACAGAATCCACTGCAGCAGTCTGAATACTACTTTCAGCTAAACCAACTTTTGCACTGGAAGCAACTTCTGCATTAGGAACTTCTGAAACCACCTGTAACCTGGTCTCCATCTCAAGAGCACTTGGATTATTCAAATCAGAGTTAAATTGCACAGTAAGGTCATTGACATCAGGAGGTGTGGAAAAGGAAACAGGATGCTCACTTCCATACAAATTTTCTGTAGTATTCTGAGCAGAAATTTCACCTAAAGAACCAAGAACAACAGGTCCAGCACAGGCAACTTTGACATTTACTTTATGAGCATCACTATCAGAACCCTCTGAAGAAGACTGAATATTACCTTCAACAGGTGCAACTTCTGTGCCAGAGACAACCTCTGAAGCCACACACAGTTTGCTTTCCATGTCAACAGCACTCTGATGATTCAAGTTGGAGTTGAATTGCATGGTAGTATCTTGAATGGTACTCCCATCAGTGACATAAACACCAGAAACAGAAACAAGATTATGATTTTTATTGACATCTTCAGCAATATTATTTGCAGATGTTTCATCTAAAGAATCAGGAACCGGTTCACCACAAGCAACTTGGACATTCTCTCTACAAGCATCATCCACAGCACCCTCCGCAGAAGACTGAACATTGTCTTTGTCAAGACGACCCAAAACAGGATTTTTCATCTCAAGAATAGCATGACTAACATCAGAGGAGAGGCACTTCAAGTCAGCAGTAGATTCAGTTAACTTATCCACCAATTGAGAATTAAAGGAAATAGCCTCCTCACTGGAGACTTGGAGATTAGGTTCAGGAGCATCTAAAGAACTACTCAACCCTGCAGTATCATTTCTGGGTAAATCTGGATCCTGCGAACTAGAATCTGTAGAAGAACCCTTGTCATTCAAATCGTTTGAATGGTGCACACCATCATCACACATGTGGAGATCATTCCCAGCAGAGGAATCCATGTCAGATTCTTTTGCCAAATCAGGCACAATACAATCATTATCTTTGATTTTAGTGGACTTTCCACCTACACCAAAAAATGAAAAAGTTCAAATAGAAAATAGTAAATAATTAAACATGGACTTGAAGGCTAAGACAATAAATTGCATTTAGCAAAAACCTGAGTTGGAAAGTGTGTTTCCCTCAGTAATTTCTTGCTCCACCAGCAGCTTCTGTAACATATCTGTACCAGGAAACACCAACATATTCATGGTCCTCATTTCTTGTTTGTGTGATTCCTCAAGCGGATTGAAGCCAAAAACTACAGTCCATGTATGCATGTGCTCAGCGATGGCAGGAATAATCAATTTCTCAACTTTGAGAGAGCAGAGGGCCTGAATAAAGAAATGTAACAACATAAATTATTGGCACAAAACTGATCATCAGAAGGAAAAATAAAAAATGTTTACTGGAACCAAAAAAAAAAAATGAATTTCTCAGGATTTGAATAAAAAAATAGGTAGTCAAAATGTCAACTAACGACCTAAGATGCCAACCCACAGTGCATGTGTACATATGCGTGCAGCTGCGGAAATATGCATGTGTTTATGCATATAACATCTTAAATACTGCAGATTCTCATTCTGGTCCTCCCAGCCTCCCACATGCATCACTATTTATTATAACAATTGTTCGTCCATGTCCATGTTTCTAACACAATTAACAAAGATTTTTATATTTTTCTCAAAAAACAGATGCAGGAAGTTTAAGCAAACAAACTGAGAATTAAGAAGTGTCCGAGGTATGATTATGTTTTGTTTAGATGTTTTGCCACATAAAAATGCAAGAAACAATATTACTGTACCGATTCAATGGCACAAAGAAGCCGGCGCATCATCCCTTGGCGTCTGTATATATGGCGTGTCCCAATGAATGGCATCTCTGCAAGCTGGGTCCCACGGATCCTAACCAGGCAATAAACAATTCAAGGATTAGAACATTTTGCAAATGAGTGGAAATCAGCAACCTTACTAATAAAGGTGTTTGTTGAGTAAGACAGCTTTCGAGCCCAAGCCCCACAAGCCCCAACCAACGAAGTGGGGACCGGGAATGCTACAGGCTCAAAACCTTTGGCCGTTCTTTTTAAATGGGGGTGCCGGCGCACACAAAGCATAAGTAACATAAGCCCACTAAAAAGGGACTAATCTATATAATGGAAAATGGAGTACCCGAAACATGAAAATGATAAATGACTCAACAAACTCAAAAAGACAAACCCTTAGATCTAGTTACTTTTATATACAACATACTTATTTTTGATAAGTATGTTCTATAATATTCATTATTGATTCAAAATTCTATATTCTATTCTTTTCTCTATTCATATTAGTATGAATGGCTAAGAATGAAATAATATTTCATTGCTAAGATTCCATTAGTTTATTAGATACTAGTTCATCGGATTATAACATATAAGTTCATAACCCTAGCCCATTCCCATTTTGGGCACATACAATCATACTCAGTTTGACAGAATTGTTTGTTCTTAATAATGAGTAATATTTTTAATATGTGAAAATCCTTTTCAAGTGATAAGAAAAATGTTTCATATCACTACTTCCATTCTCCTTTGCAAATGAAAGTTTATTTTACACAATTACAAAGTTAAGTTCTAAAAGCCAGACATTATTAAGTTGGACAGATGTAAACATTGGTTATGCAAAAACAAAATTATTGCAATATTGCACCCAAAAATTAGAAAAAAAACAAAGGTTAGTTGATTGTGGGGGTCTAGTACAACAATTGTCTAAGACCCATGAAAGACTGGCCAAAGGGAGCAAGATCAGTGGGGTTCTGCTTAGCCAACAAGATAGCAGCCAAAGCACAGGTTTTTCCCCTCTTAATATGTGTGGTCACTATGACACTTCCAATTCAGTGCTGCCATTCTCAGATGAGGAAGAAACTTGGATGATAAAACCAGGAATCACCTCCTTTATTAAGTGGACTGCCTCTTGAGACCATGAAGAGGGAGACAGCCTGCCACTATTTGTTATTTTGCAAAGCTGCAACTGTATTTAAGTCTTAACATTTTGCAATATTGGGCATCCAGAATGTGTCATTTAATTCTTACTGTGCACAGAAAAATGAATGACCTGAAAGTTGTATGCAATATGTAGACAACCATAATGAGAGGCAATATACCTGATGGATGCTGCAGAAATTATTTCATCACCCCTCTCCAAAATAGCAGTATAGAAGCCACTATAGTTCAGCCGACTGAAGTTTGATCTATGTAGAAAAAATAAAATCATATGGTAATCAATCTCATAAACAAACACACAAATACATACGTAAAGGTTCTCTCTCTCTCTCTCTCTCTCCCTCTATCCATATAATATATATATATATATATATATATATATATATATATATATATATATATACACATATGAGATAGTGGTTATAGAGAAGTGACAACATAACAACCGTAGAACATTTAAACTAGGTTAGAAACGAAATTAATTTATTTAAGCTTTAAACTTGGGTTAAGACTAATATGATTACAATTAAAGAGGGCATAATTGAAAAGTAACAAGACATAATGCATTTAAAAAGCAGCCAACAAAATTGAGGACAAAATTGTAACATTGAGATTTAGTGGAGCTCAGTCGATCGATGAATGGAGCTCATTTAGGTTACCTGAAGTAGAAAAGAATAACGGTTAAATGGCAATTGTCACCCTAAGGGTAACACAAAATCATTTGAATTGCCTATACATAGGTGGTCTTCCGGAAGGACAAAGAAGCAAAAGAAGAAAGAAAGAAGGACAAAAAGAGTTAGAATAGAGGAAGGAACTCTCATTCTTTTAGAGTGGGGTATCGGACCCACTCTCACTAAAATTAAAGTCTCTACTCTTAAAATGTACCAAGGAAAACCCCGAGCAGTTGGCTCAAGTGGATAAAAACTTGGCCTCGGTGCCTCAGAAAGCGTCAAGTCTAAGGTTCAAATCCTCTCGGGAGCAAACAATTCCTTGGGGGGGGGGGGGGGGGGGGGGTGGTGTGTTGTGTGAGTACCAACTAGGAGAAAAAAAAATGTACCAAGGAATAATGATGTTTAGCATTGGGGAAAAAAAGTTGTGTTAGCATGCCTATGTTTTACTACAATATAGTTTGTGTATGATATTATGCAGGAATTGTATTGCAAAGATGGCTTCATCAAAATTAAACCGTATGTGATTTGATCTGAGCATGATCATAGCTTATTGTGTTCTAACATTGAAATTGTTAATTGATGGTTCAAATGAATTTTTGTACTAAAAATGATGCATGCTTTCAATTTTTTTTGTTTCTAGTCAAGGCTGGATTAATCGAACTTGACGCCTGATCTATTGAATTGCAAAGAGTTTCATAATTCCATGTTCTTGTTGATTCTTGATCAATCAAGGATCAAGCGGTATAATCCAATGATATGTTGAAGTTAAGATTTTACTCTGTTTCAAGTGAAAAATCGAAATTATCTATGGAAATTCATTAAAAGATAAACTACATGAAAGTGACAGATTGATCAAGCTTGAAGCTGGATTGATTCGACCTCTACACAATTTTTGAGAATCAGTTTGAGAATCAGTTTAGATATGTGCCATTTGCCGACTAATAGGTATGAAAAATTATTGGACGAAATCAGAAAAATGTTATGATGATCTTGCAGCACTCAGAATTTGTAATGGGCGCAAACATGAAGATCTTAGACCCCAAATTTTGAACTTGTACAAAATTAATGGCCTCAAACAGTCAAAATAATGACAAATGCTAATGTGATATATGGCCTTAAACATGTTGAATCTCTGCTAATGTGATGGTCTTGAACAGCCCAAGAATAAAAATGCGTAGATGATGGTCTAGGACCAATGATTTATTTCTTGTATCTTTGAGATTGTCCTGGACCACTTTGATTCACAAAAACTAACCAATCTTTCTGAGTCTAGTATCCTTGGCGGCGTCCCTTATTCTGCTGAAATAGTCATCATCAAGACGGCTTAGGGACCACCCCGGTTTCTTCTCTGTGCTGGTCATGACAGTTGATATTTCTGGTGGTCCTGTAACATTCGTTCAATATTATTCATTGTGACGAGTCTTAGATCTTTAATGCTATTTGCTATTACCTGCTTCACTGATGGTCTTGGACAGAAATGTTCTTTGAGATGACCTTGGACTTACATTGTGAATTGAGATGGCCCTGGACTGAAACAATGTATTGATGGTCATGGACTAGTTGTCATGATAACCATGGGTTGTGTTTGTTTTTTGCCTCCGGTTGTATTGGTTTTGAACCGCATTGTTGGCATTTGGTATGCGTTTGTCAAGGGTGAACCTAGTGAAGAGAACTCACTCAATTGAGCAGCGGTGACTAAGTGTCGGACAATATTATTATAGGAACCCTAAAATTACTCATTGATAGAATATTGCCATGAGAATATCTTAGGAGTGATTTTAGCCTATGATAGAATATTGACCAGAGTGATTTATGGGTTTGATTTTAAGAATCCTCCATCCATGTATTTTCCATATTTATCACTTGTATTCTTTCAACTATAAATAGAGGTGATCATTGTATACAAAAAATTAAAGAGAATATAATAAAGATATGCAGCCTTTTGGGCTTTGTGTGCCGTTGGATGTAAGCCCTAGTGGCTGAACCACGTGTATCATTGTGTTATTCATTTTCTCTCTCTCTCTCTCTTCAATTTTGACACTAAGAAAAATCTCGTGTGGTGCCTTAGGGAATTATCTGTGGGAAGTGGTTTGTGAAGAATGCAATGCCTAGGGTGACTTGGTAGGAAGGTCTGATTAGGTGGATTGTTGTTGAGGATGACCTATGGGAAGTTCTTGTACACCAATAATACTATACCGAAAATTTTGTCTATTCTACTTTGATCTTGGATCATTGTTCTGGCATAGTTGACCATCAACTATTGTCCTATCTGTAAATGCATAATGGAACTAGTAGTGGTTGATTGATAATCACAAATATGCAGTTCATAAATGACTTACATATATTAGCATATATGCATCTGGTCAAAAAATTAGTGTCATATCTTTGGATTACCAATACTATGATCTTGTGATGAAATTCTGTTGAGTTGGATGTTATCATTCATGTTTATATGGAATGAATATTATTATAATAGAGACTTGACCTTGTATCCTAATGCGCATTTGTACTCACCTCATTTATATATATATATATACACACACACATTTCAAACGTGTAGGTTTGTAAGCTCAATAGGACTAAGATAGCTAATTTCGTATATCAAAACATGTTCAAAGTATTTTTTGTTTAATTTCTAGCTTGATAGAAATCTCCTAATAGAAAGTGTAACTTACGTCCAATCTGAAGATCAAAACCTACAACAAAGGTCATTTTCATAATCTTCTACAAAAAGGGTATATAGGTAAATTCATACTATGATACACACTCATCAATTAAGTTCATGCATTGCATCTTAATTTCAAAGTTTTTTAAACTTAAATTTGATTCTAAAATATGCATGAGAATGCATGATTTGAACATTGGAAACAGTTTCGGCAAATTTTTTTTATCAAGACTGCATATATTTAGTGGAACTTTTCTGGAGCCTTCTTGATCGATCAAGGATAGTTTCGATTGATTAACAGAGTCGAACATGCAGTGTTATAATAGAACTATATTACTAAGTTTTGTTCCACTTAAACACTTTACTAAGTAGCCTATATATACCTGTGATTCCAGAAAACCTAGTCATGCATTCACAAGAGATTTTCTTGAATTATTGAAGAGCGGAAACAATTCTTTTGTTTATTTATACAAGATCAAAATCTCTATATTCATATATACATTGAGAGATTACTTGTGAGATATCAGTCCGTCTTTATTTCCAACCTTCATCGTATACATTAGTATATTTATGAGTTGTTATCGATGTTATGCATCTGTTGCTATGCCTCGTCAAGATCATTCAATACAATCAGATCGCAATCCACACCAGATTCTCGACTCAACAACTAATGGCAAATGCTAATCAGTACATAAACGGATTCACGGTTGTGAAGGTTGCAGACACATCAGAAAGACGACCTGGAGATCTTCGAAAGACTGAGGTTTGGTGTCTTACCATGTCTAGAGATAACTAGGAGATCGACTGTACTGAACTGTGACCTAGATTGTAAATCTTTCTCATAGTGGATTAATTGTTTGAATTAGGTTCTGTGGTTTTTTGACTCTTGATTGAGGATTTTTCCATATAATTTTGGTGTCCATTATTTATTTCTTAGATTGCACGCTTATTTCAAACTGATAATATATATTGCATGTTATAAAATTGGGTTAATTACAAGGACACACCTTGAGGTTTAGCCAAATCTCACACGGAGAGAAATTTTGAAAATAACTTTCACTCACACCCAAATATCAGAGAACTAGAACTACATTGCTACCCTTTGAGGTGTTAACAAATATAATGTCACTGTTCTTAGAAGGTCATTTTTTTGTGTGAAAATTTCTTATCCGGGACCTCACTCTCTCGAAAAAACTCTTTGGTTCTCTCTCTAAAAACTTCCTTTCTTTCAAAGACTTGCCGAGCAGATTGAAATCTTCATCTTTACTTCTATCTGATGACGATCTAAGCTCCTTCATATTGTGCAACCAAAAGTACCCACTTTGTTGTTTCTCTATATTTATTATACGTTTGTTCTTTTTTGCTTCCGTTGTCCTTGCTGGTGAGAGTCTAAGACTCTAAATGTCCATTTTTTGAGTTATTGAGTATTGGAGGTAATACTTTTGCATGACTTGAATCCATGGGTGGTTCTTAAGGAGAGGTGATTGCAGGATGTGGGTTTGAGGTAAAATTTAATGTCATACGCTTACTAATTAATAATTGGTTTCATGGGTTTTTGGAGGTTTTGACGGGTTCTTTATTTGATGATTTGGTTATTTGGGTTTTACTTTTTTTCAAGTTTCCTTTTTGAGTTTTCTTGAGAAAATTTGCAAGCGCCACGAATTCCTATCTCCAATGATGGAGTGGGCCGTGGTAATGCCGTTGGCAGTCGTAGCATACAGCTTCAAGGACGCCTCCAATTGGTTGCATGAAGTTCATATTTGAAGACATTTCTTAATTTTCTTTTTCTTATTCTAACTAGATACTATTGCATTGTGTGTGTGTATTTATGTATACATATTGAACTGCTGTTATCCCCTGCAGAAAGGGCGAAGTAATAATTTCTATCATCTATGTAATAATTTCTTTTTCCTTGAATACATCTACATAGTATATATGTATGTATATATATATATATATATATATATATATGATTGTTGTGTAATATGTATTTCTCTGCAACTTGTACTCCAATATATATATATATGTGTGTGTGTGTATTTATGTATATGATGTATTGATGTGTGATATATTGTTAACGAGCTACGAGCTAGACTCGAATTGGTCGTGAACGTTTCCGAGCCGGGCTCGAACACTGAGGTGTGAGCTCGGCAGAGCTCGGCTAGAGCTCAAGCCGAGCTCAAACAGCCATTACTTGGCTCAGCTCTGCTCGTTTACAGCCCTATGTAATATGATTGTGAGTAGAACGGAATTCGTGGCCTAACCTTTGAATTATGAGATGGGAGTCGTGAAAAAATACCATGATCACTCTAATATTCTCATTAAGGATATTGGATGGTAGTAAGTGTGGTATATCATAGTGATATCACATGATCTAGATAAGGAGACTAGGATGCAAGTATGACTGACAAAGTTAACTAACACCACATATAGAGACTGAGTACAAAGAATGCTGGCATGGAAACATAGAGCAGGATAAAATGTTAAGCAGCATATACCAACCAAATTGCAAAAGCATTACAAATTTGAATAACAGTAATACTGAAAAACAACTACACACAAACATTAAAAATCTCTAACAAACACATGGATATATAATCAGAATACATCCTTGAAAAGTGCATACACGTGACTGAACAAAAAAGGAAGAAACAAAAAAAAAAAAAACTAAATCGTGCAGTTGTGCATGCCTCATATAAACATACAATCAACTAAAAAATAATAACAAATCCAATTAGATGTAACAGAGGATACTAAAACACTAGTTATAAGAATAAAAAATATGCAATACACAAAAACAGTATCTCATGTGTGAAGAAAATATATGCACATTTCCAATGAGGATAATACATAACCACTTACCCACAATTATAGAGAACATTATGGATTAAATTGATACCACTCCTCCTGTCAACAATGGGCAAAAAGCATTCATCCATAACAGACAGTGCAACAGCTAGCTTAGAATTGCATTCCACCCTCTGAGGAAATCCACGGTCTGGATCCATTCGATGAATTAGAGACCATGAGAATCCTGCTTCCAGTTCATTTTTGACCCCAAGAAGCTTCTGTAAATGGTCAAACAGCTGCAGAAGCACAAGGATTAAGATTCAATTAAACTCCTTCCAAAATAAAATCCAATGCAATCAGAAAACAACACTCCACATAACAGACAGATAACAATTAGTCAATTGAACTAGTGAAACTCCATTTTCAAATTCACCAAAAAATCCTTGTGTCAGATTCAAACATTTCACTTGTTCATCCTTGCAACCTATTGCTGCTATTTTTCATATTACTACAGGGAATTAACAAGAACTTGTTGATAACCATAGCCTAATATTGAACTATTGGATGCTGAATATTGGAAACATATGCATAAAATTACCATTACTGAACCAAGCAATTAAAATCAAGGCCTTAATTATCTAACATGCACAGGTCTACAAAACACATTCCACCCTCATACAACATAGGGTCTAAGGATTTTATTCCTCAAGTGAGCAAAATTTAATAGAAGCAACTGGTTAGTCAGCATGTGATGGAAGCTCATGCTCAAGGGCTGCACTGCATCAGATATTAAACATAGCAATAAATTACTCAGCAGACTGGAAATCACTGCATTAAATTGGTAAAGAAAGGCTGAAATATTGGTTTCTACTAACTATAAAACATCACTTAAATATCGCCTAGCCCAAGTAATAATTGACCCTAAACTCTTACATTAGAGAACTTAGTAACATTAGGAATACCTCTTGGCATTTCCGCCCACAAAAGGAAGGGTATGCATTATCGGAATTAGCAGGTAAAGCATCCATCTCCTGACTGCATGATTCGTGATCTGAAGAAGGCAATAGTCAGATTTCAGCCAAATCCTATAAGTGTAACCACAACAACAACAACGAGAGAGAGAGAGAGAGAGAGAGACCAGCATGTATGCAAGTACAAAAAACTTTAAGGGGGAAGGACAAGTAATTACATTTTTTCTCACACAGGCTGCATGTGAGAACTTCACTGCTAGCTGTATCATTTTCTTCTGCAACACACCCTTCAGCTATCCCACATAATTTGCATGTACAATTTGGACAGTGCCAATCACCCGCTGGAAGCATCTGCAATCAGAGGAAAATATGAATGCCCAACAGCTGAGGAAGTTACAACTCACGCAAGCAGCCACAGAGAAAAAATATAATAGTTCAACTGTTCAAAACACTAAATGCTACAGTACTTTATTTATTTTGCTTTTTTGACTCCGTCACCCCAAATAAGTGAAAACTTAACCAGCCAATCCTCATGCCAATTGTTTCCACTTAATTTTCATCCAGATATTCTCAGAAAAAAAAGTCATTTAACCAAGCAAGTTTGACACTATGATAGCATCAGCCTGCTTTACAGGCTCAAGTCTACTGGCATAAGATGGGTAAACTGACCTTGCATGAACGTACCTACTTTCAGTAGTGCAATAAGAGTGAATAAGGAATTAAGAATGTAACTATATCCTTGAATACTTTCCTTTGTTCAACATTTCATAGGTAAAATAGCATCTTAGATGCTGAAAAAACAAAATTATGTAACATTATAGTCTTTTTCACATTTTGAAAACAGATTCCCTCTCTACATATGAACTCGTTAACCAATAGCTTAAACTTTTGGGACAAGGTGTTCTAACATGGTATCAAAGTCTTGGTTCTAGGTGGTCTTGCATCCAAGTTTCCACCACCTCTTCTTCTGTCACGGTTCCTGTTTCTCTCAAACTCGGTGTTTGGTGCACAAGTTTGTCCTTGTTTCGTTTAAACTCTCCGTGTGTGATACACTATCGCATGTGAGAGAGGGTGGGTTTTAGAACGTGATAATCATTGTCGAGCTCATTCTTTAATAGCTTAAGCATTTGGGGTAATTAGTAATCTAACACAGAAACTATTTCTTCTCTCTCAAGCTCCTCCTATATTTGGGTTTAAACTATTTCTACACGTTCATTGGTTCTTGTTTCTCTCATTCTCAGTTCTTGGTTTGCAAGTTTGTATTTTGGAATCTCCAGGTGCGGAACAGTTTTGCACATGAGGGAGTGTTAGAACTTTATATTCATTGTTGGGCCCATTCTTTAACAACTTAACCTTTTGGGGCAATTGGTAGTCTAAGACATATAAACTATTTCTTTTCTCGCAAGCTCTTCACAAGTCTTTAAAGATTCAAGAAATATCTCCACCTGTCAACATCCAAACTTTTAAGCACAATGTTGACTTTCCTCTTAATTCACCATTCTATTCTACATGCATAGATGTGGATGCAATTATAAAAATAAAGATATACAAACATATGCACATAAATACATTTGTTACACGAAAAAGTAAAATGGACATACAAGAGAAAAATAATATAATTAAAATGACCTAAAGGATGTCTATATGTGCTCTGTGATCAAGTATATATACCTGTATATCTAAGCAACTCTGATGAAATGTTGAAGGACAACCATCACAACAAATCAAATCACCACCATCACCACATAGGCCACAAGTATCATCATTTGGATCATCACCATCTACGTCTACCGTTTGAAAACCACAACGTTCAGACTCCTTTTGCCTGTTCCATGCATCTATCTGGCATTGCAAAAGGGAAACCCCAGATTCCAAATATATGTTCTGGAATGGCTGACGCAGTTTACTTCCAGCATGAATCTCAAACTTCAAAACAGTGAGGATTTTGCTACAGCAACCACAGTGTATGCCATCTCTTGTAATCCAACCCTCTAGCATTACTCGAGTCCGTCTACGGTTCATGTACTGCACCTTCTCACTTAAATGCACTGTACCAGAGTCAATCAGCCAGGAAAGCAGGGTCCGTTTTCCAGTATATGGAGCAAAATCATCCTTTTCTGAATTTGGTCCTTTGTCAGAACCGCGAACTAACAAAGTACATCTGCCAAATTTTCTACTTTTTGTTCCTTGTATCATTTGAGAATTGGTTGTTGTGGACAATTTTTCAGCCTTGGCTTGCTTGGGAGTTCCTTTGTACAAGTTACCACTTGAATCATCCCCACTATCATTCTTTGCTTCGCGCAATCTGCCTTTCACTGACTTACCACTATGCTTCTTGAAAGAACTAAGTTTCTTCTCATGCTCATCACTGTCCATGTCATCTTCAGACTCTTCGGAAACAGAGTCTTTAACATTCTTACTCCTATCAACATCTCTTCGCTTCTTCTTCATTTCCTTCTCCATCTTCTTTCTAGTTTGCCTTGTTAACTTACTGAGTATCTCCTCTGACAATGGAGTAAACGGAGAGGAGACCCGACTAGGTTCGATTTTAATATTATCTTCCTCCAACTGCTTCTGAAGCGCATCATAAGCCTTTATAATAGACCAGTAAGCTGTTCCTGCAGGATTAATGTACACTGCATCTAGATAATCTCTGTTCCTTCTAGGTCTATAATCAATTGTCCAGCCAGCATTCACAAGCATATTCCTAATCTTCTCGCGCAATAATTGCTTTTCTGTGCCAGTGCCACGCTTAACCTTTCCTTCCTTGCCTCTGGTTGGAGTGATTTGTTCAGCTGATGGAGTAACACTTCCTTCATTCTTTACCCGTTTTGAGGAGCTACAAGCCTGCATGCTCGTTGACCCTGGATTCAGTAACGTATTACTGTCCTCTTTCTCTAATTCACCTGTCATACTGCTCTTACTTGAAATTGATTTTTTTGTTTTAAGCTCGCTTTTCTCTGCCCTAACAAATGAATCTCGTTTTTCACGACGTTTTGAATCTGAGTAAAAAGAAGGCCGGACTGGCATGTTTTTCTTGATAGCGTCTTCAGACCTAGAATCCTTTCTATCTTCAGATTCCTGCTGATCACAAGTTCTACGGGACAAACCCAGCTTCTTTTTATTTACCATTACCTTTAGAACACCATTTTTCCCCTGCAACCGGATAAGCTCATCAGAAGGCTCACGAACCTTCTCTCTCAAAAACGAAATGGGCATGTGAGCTTCATCATCCTCCTCCATCTCAAACCTATTCTTTAAAGTAAAATTAGGTCCCCTGTTCCTCCCACCTAATGAGCTACTTGTCCCATCAACATAAGAATGTTTTCTCTTGTCAACCATAACATGTCTGTTAGACCCACCTTCAAATTCCCTCTGGTTACCACTCCGTCCTGCAAGCTTCAACCTATCATCCATAAAATCATTCCTCATAATTTTCCCATCCATTGCGTCGTACTCATCAAACTCAAACACATCTAACCGACTTCTCTTCCTCTCGCTCTCAATTTTACCATTCCTACGAATTTCTCTATCATCCACAATACACTTATTATATACAAGTGAACCGTTATGAAATTTATTGTTTTTGGAAACAATTTTCCTACGAAGAGGCTCTAATAGCTCATCGCTCGACCCCGAATCGCTGAGAAGCAAGCGGGGTCTCTTCTTCTCCTTCTTTGACCCAACAACTTTTCTTGAACCCGAAGAACCAACCCCACTCATCCCATCCCCTTTCTTTTTTATGATCAAACAACCAGAGGAGCTCTTCTTCTTCACCAAATACCCCGAAGGGTCCCCAGATCCACTACCCTCTTCCATCTAATGCATTAACGGCAACAAAACTCAAAATTTTCAATCAGATCCCCACATTCACCATCAACATCAACACAAACGGACTCAAGAACCCTAGGTCTCCGCCCAATTCAAATGTCACCAGATCTGAATCAAAACAAACCAAAAACCCTAAAATCTTTTACCAAAAAAAAAAAAAAACAAAACAAAACACGTCCGTAGAGGGAAAACGGCATAGGAAGATTTAATGATCCTTACCTTACCTCGCAGTGATTCCGACAATCAACGATTAACCACCGAGACGCTGTGAATTGGCGGTGACAAAACTTTCCGGCCAACGAATCCACGTGAGGAACCTATATAAGAGAGAGACCGAGAGAGAACAGTTCATGTAGAGAGAAAGATTGGTGCTGTTTATATGTGTGTATAATTTGTATATATGCTGTATATATGCTGTATATCAGACGCTTGTCGTTTTATATTATCAACTTGTAATTAAGATTAAGCATTCATATTGTCTTTATATTTACTTGTTGATGGTTTTATTAAGGTTAAATCTTGTTAAATAACCTCTCTGTTTTTTTTTTTTTTTTTTTTTTTTTCTTTATTTTAGTTAACTTTCCCTCCAAATAGTTACCTAAAATTCGTAACCTCAAATAATCACTGCCACGTTTTATGGTCAATTAAAGTCAAAGACTAAATTTTATGCAGACATCACTACAACAAGAAATTTTGCTAGGTTATAAATCACTCCTGCGTAAGTAATTTTACCGAGTTATACATCACTCGTAAGAAATTTTACTATTCTTGGTTTCCCTAAAAAAAATACCATTCTTTCTCTTTTCGTTAATTTTTTAAGAGTCATAAGCTTTTTTATTTTCGAAATGATTTTAAGAAATTATAAATGTTAAAAGAAGGGTCTTGAATGGTGCTTAGGAGGATGTACATTTATGTATTGTTTGATAGGGATGCACACAGTTCAGTTGAGTACGATTTCTGGTGAAACTGGAACCAGAATTGTTCCTAACGGTTCTTAGAAATTGGAGCTAGAACCGGAACTGAAGTTCAGTTTAGTTCTTCCTTTTTTTTTTTTTTTTTTTTTTTTTTTTTTTTTTTTTTTAAGCAATACATTGGGTCACATTTATGTTGATACCATTTAATGATTCTAAACCTCTTCGCAGGCATTTTGATATATAATATAATACATGAGATAATATATTTATTATATATATATATATATATGTATGTATTACGATTTTGATGGAGAGGTTTTACACAAATATTCTTCTAATAGGATTACTGCAACATATAATCAGAGTATTTCAAAAAATTTATAACCAAACAAGCATCAATAGGATCAATATTAGCAATTATATAATTATTAGTACAATTCCAGTTCTGGTTCCAGAGTTTCGAATCAGAACCGAATCAAAAATTGACGGTTTCAAAATTTTGGAACCGGAACCGAAATTGAACCAATGATGAACCGGTATTGAAGCACCTATTCGGTTCAATTCCGATCGGTTCTTTAGTTCCACCGGTTCTTTGTGTTGGGATTTATATGTCCAGACATAGCAAATTCCTATTTGGATTAAAGTGACATATGTTCCTAACGTATCTGAAATATTTTTTCTTTATACAATTGGTGAATTCAATATATTATGTTTCGATTCATTATGGAATTGATAGTGTCCACTTGATTACAAGAGATATTTATATATGTATGTGATGGCGATCAATATATGAATATAAATAATAATCATAAATTGTTCATAGTCGGTAATTATAGATGGACTCATAATTAATTAAGACTTGAACTGGATCGGCGTTAAGTTGAGATATATATTACGAGAGCCGTCGTATGCAATTGCTCCCTATCACTGTAATGGCATTTGACTTTTAAGCTTGAGAGAAATATAAACTCTTTTATTAATTAGTAATTACTTTGATTTGTTCGGCGGAATCTTCGGAATCCTTAGACCAGCACTTTGGGTAATTATGTAATTAATAGTTAGAGGGTTATATTTTTAAAATTTGCATCGTTGCTACTTGTATTTATTTTGTATTGATTATTGTTGATCACAAAGTAAATTAGAAGGCCTTCATGTGTTTTTAGACAAAATAATTTATTATATATTTATTTATTTAAATTATTATTTTTGTCAAATAAATGTTTTATTGTGATCGAGCTAAAAATAATCAAAGGTACCAAAATAAATATATTAATTAAGTAGTCGGATTGATGGCTGTTACTCAAGAATTGACTCTAGAGGGGGGGTGAATAGAGTCAATGGTCAATTTTCGTAATTTATAGAAATACAATTTCTAATTAACAATATAACCTATTGTGCAATAATCAACATATGAAATCAAGATATGAAAGTAAACAATTTATAGCACAATTATAAAAGAGATAAGGGAAGAGAAATTGCAAACTATAACACAGCGATTTTTGCGAGGTTCGGAAAACTCCTACTCCTCGGCTCAAGATCCCTCTTGAGACTTCCCAATCCAATATAGCTTCTCCTTACGGGTGGAGAGCAAACCTTGATTAGAAGTAACTCCTTGCTAAGAGAAAACCTCTCTTAGTCTTCCTTTGGGTTACACCAACCCTTACAATATCCTTGCTAAAAGACCACCTCTCTTAGTTTTACATAGGCCACACCAGCCCTTACAATTTCTTTGCTAAGGGAAACTCTTCTCTTAGTCTTACAGCAGATTTGTAGATAGAATTTGTAGTACAAGAAATCCTCTCAAGAACTGATACAAATCAAACCTCACAATAGAGTATATATGAAGTCAAGTGAAGCTCAAACTCTAAGAATGAAATGTATGAGAGATGATGAGGAAAAAATGCAGAACAAAAGCTCTGTATAATGATAGAGCAAAAAGCTCTCTTGGATGCACTTGAATGAATGTTCTTGAATGCTTTCTCAAGTAGTATAATAGAGCAGAAACTCTATGAAGATTAAAACAAGAGCAAAAGCCCTTTTGATCTTTTACTAGAATCTCTCAAAAATAGAATAAGCGTGAAATGAGAGAGAAGAAGATGAGAGAACAAAAGCTCTCTTGAAATGTAATATTATGTCTCTCAAAATGGTGGTGTTTTTGCTTCAGCAAAATGAGCCTTCCTTATATAGACAGCCGTAGCTTAATATGTCTGTTAGAAGTAGTTGGAAGACTTAAATGCAGAAAAGTGCCGTTGAAGATTCAAATAATTTAGAAGAGTCGGCTCTATAAAAAATTGGAGGAGGCTCCAATAAATGGGAGGCGGCTCCAATTCACAAAATGCATTCTACGACACACAATTTGGCTACTGGAGTGCAAAGAGGCGGCTCCTATAATTGGGAGGCGGCTCCAATAAAAATGGGAGGCGGCTCCAATTGATAAAATGTGCTTGCTTTAGTTTTCATGGAGGCAACACCTTGTTTTGGATTTTGACAGAAAATGGCATGACTTCAAATGGACATAACTCAGTCCATAAAACTCCAAATGAGGTGAAATTTAAGTCTAAATTTATTGCCTTGAAGTCAGCTTTCTAAATCCACTGGCTTTGCTCAAAAATTATAACCATAGAGATGGTTATGGTCGTTTTAGTGCAACCTGGTCAGAATTTTCGCAGACCAGAGATATGCATTTTGTAATGCTCATATCTCATTCAATTTAAATCCCTTTTAGGTGAAATTTGAGTCTAAACTCAAGAGATCGAAGTCAGCTTTCTAATGCACCTAGCCTTACTTAAAAATTCCAACTACAAAAATAGTTATAGCAGTTTTAGCATAGGCTGGTCTGGAAATTTTCTGGGCTGAAAATTGCTTCTTTTGAGATAACCATCTTTCTAGCACCTAGGACTTTGATGAATGGCTCAATTTAGTTCAAGACCTATTTCTAAGAGTCTAGGGACATATAAGGATGATAAATATCAAGTTCATGGTGTCCTAGAGTCATTTACTAAAATATAGCAACAAAGGCTTTAAAGATGAAATATTAAGTTCAATGCCTTTTCCTTTTCTTTCTAGACACCAAAGTAAATCTTATGATTAATGTGCATGGTCCTAGCATTTCTAGCTCAAGTTGCGAGTTCTTTCAAAACTTATGCAAGCTTGAACTAACCCTTTCTTAGCAAAGACTTCATATGACAATATCTATGAATGAAGTGCAAAGTCTATTACTAAGGATATAAGAATATGTGAATGATGATAATATGCATGATCCTATAGAGATGAGCTTCAAATGGATTCATAAATACTTTGACATTGAATCCAAAACACTCACCATCCTATCTACCCCTTTTCTTCATGCATTGTCCATGATCGTTTAGGCTTGAGGTAGTATTACTTTCTTTCTTCCTTTGAGTTGCTTTCTTGCTCATTGAAGTCCAAGCTATCTTTGGACATTGCATTTTGTTCCTTGCAACTTCATGTCTTCATTGTATCCATTTCTTTCCTTGATGTGATCTTGAATAATGGAATACTTTGAATGATCTTTAGTGCTTCATTGAGGTCATTCTTTGAATGTGAATAATCTATATAACACTCAATGTAAACATTAGTCCTTAAACACCATTAATGGTTTGTTATTATCAAAACACCTAGATTGTCATTGGATGAAATCCTTAAGGTCAACAGTGGCTTTATTTATCCGATAACTAATTATGCATAGAGGGGTCAAAGTACAACATTGACTTAAAAGTTATTTATTATTTAATTGGAGTTTAATTAATTTCTTTTAATGGAGTAGAAATTAATTAATTAATTAATTTAATTGGGTCCATAGACCAGGCCAATTATTAATTCATTGTAGCCAAGAAAATAATAAGCCCAATATGATTCTCATTCATAGTCCAACTTGATATTAGAATCCTATTAGATTTGAGATATGTGAATTAGAGATGGAGAATGATTTATGGTTTCCTTTTCTGATTTTTATGTTGCCTATATATACATGGGTTCATGTATATTTTAGGAGCTAGAGACTTTTAGAAGAAAAGAAAAAGGAATATATTTTTTTCTCTCTAGATTTTAAGGTTTGCTTTCTCATCTAATGGAGGCTCCCACAAGCATAGTTTTCCAAGGTCATTCATGGAGGCTTATAGGTGATTCCTAAAGACAAAACTATTACCAAGAAGATGAAGATCTAAGGAGATGGCATCTAGTAAGGGGATTTACAATAAGTGAGAACATTCACTTTAAAAGAGAGATATAAGGTTTACTCAAACCTTTGATGTAAGTATTCAATCCATTAATTGAATAATACATTATATTTTATTTTTGCATAAAACTTGTCTCTATTTGACGAATCAAGATCTGTGAATGAAAATCCCTCGAAAAGTTTTTAAAACTAGCACGTTTCCCAACACTTTGTACACCCCTATTATTTGATAAAACTAAAAAATCAAGTACTGAAAATTTTATGAGCTGAAGTTTTTAAGTGGTAATTAAAAAAT